CCAAAAAGGGCTGCATTTTATTTAAGAATTTTAAAAAAAATGTATTCGCTGTGAAATGTGACCCGGACATGTTGTCATGTCATTCCTTTAGAGAGTTATCAGGAGTTTCCCGTCACTCTGTAGCCCATGAGAAGCTCTGAGCAGTAATGCATTGACGCCCTCGTGCAGTCAGGCTCACCCCTTGTCAGCTGGCACAGAGGGACAACAGAGGTTTGGAAAACGAGGAAAAGAAAGAGAGAGAATGGACCTCTGGGAGCCCTCAGAGTTTGGGCCATCAGACAGCTCTCTGGAGACAGTAAACGGACAACGGCGAAGGAGGAGACCCACAAAACTACAGACGCACTGATGAAGCAGCCAATTACTGAATAAATTAAACTTTTTTTTTTTTCATACTTTTTTCAGCAAGGATGCATTCAAATGATCAAAAGTGACACATATAATACACACATATATATATATATATATATATATATAAAAATTGTATTTAAAATAAATGCTGATCTTTTGAACTTTCTATTCTCAAAAGATGTTTCCACAAAAGTTTGAAGTAATAATAATAATAATTCCTTACATTTATATAGCACTTTTCTAAGCACTCAAAGCGCTTTACATTGTCAGGGGGTATATCCTCATCCAGTAAAATAATGTAGCATCCACCTGGATGATGCGACGGCAGCCATAGTGCGCCAGAGAGTAATGATGCTGAAAATACAGCTTTGATCACAGAAATAAATTACATTTTACAAAATATTAAAATAGAAAACAGTTATTTTAAATTGAAATAATATTTCACAGTTTTTACAGTATTTTCGATTAAATGAATGCAGCTTTGGTGAGCAGAAGAGACAAAAACGCTAAATAATCTTACTGACCCCAAACTTTGGTTTAAATTATTTGCTAAATTATGATTTATTTATTTTCTTTTTATTGTGCATATAACGTCCCGTTACACATCCATCCACCAGATCCAATCCACTAATGACTGATTGTTTAGTCACAACATTAAAAATAGTTTATTTAGGGAAATAAAAGACAAATGACCAGCATCTATAGCAGACTATAGATTTGTTTAAATTGTATTGGCCAAAATCAGTGCATCCGTAACACACACAACAGAACACACACACACACACACGAACTTACAGACTGCTGTTGTTAATTTTGTAAAACTTGTGCCGCGCCAGCCACATCCTGCACACGTATTTGGACGTCTCCATGTCCTCCTGAAACGGAGCCAGAACATTTTTACTGAATCAAATCAGGCCAGAACATTGACTCATGTGTCTCAGGGCCTAAATTAGTGGCGTTCCTTAGAGGCCAGCAACAAATCTATTCACTAATAGGAATGGACATTCATATAGGCATATATGTGATAGCATAACTGCAGCTTAATTTAAGTCTTTTGGCTATTTTAGGCAAAGAAAAAGAAGCATCTGAAGCATCTGACTTACGGTCTGGAACTGGATTGTGTCTTCTTTGTTGGCGAGCTCCAGGGCAAAGAAAGACTTATTATGAGTCATATTATTAATGTCATTCCACCTGCAGAAACAATGAGGAGTTGAGTCAGACCCATGACAGTAAAACACAACCTAAAAACACAATATGCTGGATGATAAACAGCCTTTTGAAGACTAGGGCAATAGTGCACGAGTAAAAGCCTTTTAACAATATCTGACACAAATCTCTATATTGATTTTTCTTGCTCTGAGGAAGGGGGAATTTTTCCCAATAGGAAGAAACCAAGTAAAATACGGAAATAAATCTAGTTACATTCATCAATGCATGTTTTGCACAGTATGTTTCACTCTATTAACACAAGAATAATCATATTCATTTATATGCTGCAAAATAAGACACTGTAATTGGTAGTAATATTACCTAAATACTATTTTTATTAAAACATTATAATATGCCATGCAAATACTTCCTTAAACATTGTTGACTGATGCAAACATCTTTAGGAAATGTAATAGCCAAATATAAATGCATAAAAAAAATCTTAGGATTGCTAAACATCATAAATATGTCACAAATATTTAATACAAGCTGTAATGCATGCACACATACTGAAACATGAGAGGTGCTTTCCCATTTTTGTGCTTGACAAAAATCCCGTCCAGACAAGAGCCGATGATCACATCTGTGCTCTGAGCGTCCTATTTAGACACAAGGAAGAACATCTTAAAATATAGCATTGTATAATAATTGGGGCTCTCAATGTCTTAAAATAATTAATAATTCAGCAATGGATGCTCTGCAGTGAATGGGTGCCGTCAGAATGA